ATAGTCTCTGGTCTTAAAGTTATTCCCTGGATGCAGGATGCTGCCTCAGAGGAAACTAGAAACTAGGGGTGAACAAATCAAGTTAATGAGGGAGGGGTATTGAGAGCTTATTGGGAAAGAAATGAAGAATTCTGATGTGGTCTCAGGTGTCCATGAGAAGTTGATAGGAGTAGAATCATCTGGTGGAAAAGGCAAGTTAGACAATGATACTGAGTTTGGTGATTAGATACATAGAAGACAGAGCAGTTTTTTCAGATACAGCATCACTATCAAGTCTACAGCTATCCTTGTCCCTCTCCTTGATGCTAGGTCTGTCCTCCCCTACTCTCATCTCCCTCCTCCAATCCATCCCCACACCACAGTGAGTGATCTTTTCAAACTGAAAATAAGATCACATCTCTTCCATGCCTTAAGCCCCCAATGTTTTTCCACTGCTTCTAGGATAAAAACTAAAATTCTGAGCTTCTGATCCAGAATGTGCCCCAATCTAGCTCTCTTGCCTCATCTCACACCATCCTTCTGGTTTCTCTCAGCCACCCAGCTACACTGACCTGCCTTCTTGCCCTCCACCCCAGGGCCTTTGCACATGCTTCTCTCTCCACTAGAGTACGCTCTCTCCTTGCCCAGTTAATCATGCTCAGGCCTTCAGAATAGGGATTGTGCACCACTTCTTTGGAGAACACCCCCTCAGTCAGATTCCTGGGCAAATCATTCTTTTGGGACTGTGTGACTTTTCTTCAGAGTACCTCACTCAGTTTGTAGTTATGCCCTCACTAATGTGAAAATGCCCACTGGACTTTCAGCTCCATGAGGACAGAGACCGCCTCCATTTTACTCACTCGTACCAGCATGTAGAAGACGCTAAGTAAATATTTGCTGAATGAATGGTTGGAGGGAAGAAGGCAGAGCCATTTCCTGGAAGAAAATGTAAAAGTCGAATTGTAGTTTTTGCTTTATTTTGTTTTTAAAGGAAAGAAAACACGGATAATAATGCAAGCTACTCTCAAATTATTTGGTTGTAGAGTAGTGTGAAGACCTTTCCCACTGAATGGGGAAGCCAGATGGAACTAAGAGGATGAATAGCTTTGGCTTCACCATATGTAGTTCACGTTGGGGCTAAGAGGTAGAATTTCAGGCTAGGAAGAATTGGTACAGAGAAGCGCCCTGTAGTTTTGGCAGTTAAGACATTGCTCCTTTCTCTGGTAAATTGAGTTTCTGCAGCTTGAGGAAGGCAGGAGCATAAAGAGAGTTGCAATCATTTCCTAGAGTTTGGAGAATAAAGAGGAGACTGGTGGGGCAACAGAAATAAAAATAAGAAATAAACAAAGGGTACATTTATTTGACTGAAAACTTTTTAGAAGACCTTTGAAAAACACAGGAGCTCCTCAAGATGTTTATGTAATTGAATATAATTTATCTGGGATTGAAAGGAATAATAATCAAAAAATATTTTTCACTTAAGTACATCTGGAGGCACATGAAATTGGACTCCTGATGGTGGCCCATGCCTGACTGACTGTGTCCTTGGTGTTTTGTCTTCAGGCTGCAGACTGGAAATGTGTTTTAGAGAGCAGACATGGAGCACGAAATAGTAAATTAACTTCACCATATTCAAAATGCCCAACAGTGTAACATCCTCCTTGTTTGGCAGCGAAAGGGCTCAACATTTGGAAACTCAGCAGTGCATTAAGTATTTTAATAATCGTTGTTGACACACAAAGCATATGGCCTTTCAGACCTCACTGGGTCAAGTGTTGAAGCCTTCTAGGTTTCTAAAATTACTTTACAAAATTCAAGCAAAATTAAATTAGGGCACAATTCAAAGCATATGCATTCATAAACTTTGCGCTATAAGCAAGTGAAATAACTTTTCTCCTAAGATACAAGAATATCTGTGAGTAACTAATTATGTTAATGCAAAGGCAAAAGCAAAATTCAACATCCATGAAAAAAATATTAATTTACATTTAATTAGAAAATCTAGACACTCCCCATAAGCAGGCCAGTGTGTGGATACCTTGTATTTACCCTGTACTCCTAGTCACTGCTTTCAGACCCACCTCAGATATCCCCCCTCAGAAGCCTTCATTGTCCACTTACTTACCAATTATAACAGTTATCTATGGCCACAATAATGCTGAGAAATAAGCCACTGTAACACTCAATGGCTTATAACAATTTCTTATTGCTCACGAGTCTGTGGGTTAACAGGGCAATTCTGGCTTCTGGTGGGCTCGCTCATGAGTCTGTGGTCAGCTGTGGGGCGGGGCGGGGCTCTGCTGACCATAGCTGGCCTCTCTTCCATGTCTGGGGGTCAGCTGGCTGAAGGCTGATCTGTTGGGAGAGCTGGGCTGTCCTCCTCATGGCTGTTGTGCCCACGAGCCTCTCCCACCCCTCCACCTGGCCAGCCCAGACAAGTTCTCAGGCTGGCCTGGGCATAGTCTCATGGCCATCTGAAAGAAGCAAGAGAGAAAGTGGAAGCACGCTAGCTTTTATTTTATTTTTTCAGACCTCCAGGCTCATCACATTTGTTAGCATCCCATTGGCCAAAGCAAGTCACATGCAAAGCCTAGAGTCGGAGTGATAAGAGACTACAAAGTTACAGAGCAAAGCGTGGGGATACTGGGAGGCCAGTAGTTGGGGCTTTGATGCCATCAACCTACACCCCCATGCACCTCCAGCCCCAGCAGTAATATCATCCCCTTGTCTGTGTTACCTCTGTTTCTTCATTCTTAGCTCTATTGTACTTTTCCCATTGTATTATAATATAGTTGCTAATTTGTCTGTCTCCTCTTCAAAAATCAGAGGGTCCTTATGCCTATGTACATTCATTTAAGTATTTGTTGACCATCTGCTGTGTGACTCATTCCTTTACAAACACCCCTGTGCCGAGCACTGGTGCTGACACATAATAGGCGCTCACTAAGTATGTGTTGAGTGAATACATACATGAAAGCTCACATCTCCTTCCCCTCCAGAAGAAAAGAGTGAGGACAGATGCCTCTCGGAGCCCAGCTGAGGAGGTCTTCCTGGCGTGTAACTGGTGAACCAATGGGGGACCTGCAGAGATGATCTCAGCTGCTTAAACATCTTTCCCTCCACTCTCGCCCACTTCTTCCCTCGGGAACTCGGGTTTTCTTTTCTCTGTCTCCTTATTTCTCTCAAAGGAAGGCAGGGAATCACTGATACTTAACTCATTCTCAACTCTGTAGTCAACACTCCCAAGGTCTTAAGAGCCTACACTCTACAGTGTGGAGCGAATGAACTCTAGGATTTACTTACGCTCACTGTGTGGTCAGTTTAAGAAGAGCTGGATGGCTTCGATTCTCTGGTTTTCCCTGTTCTGTGGATCAAGAACATGGAGCAATCCTTAGGAAATGTTTTATACAGCTATAGACATAAGACCCTATTCATGTAGGGTATTCATTCTGTCAATACAATGTCAAATAAACTTACCGCCTCATTATTTTCCAATTCCATAGACTCTATAGGGAAAACTTGTGTTTCCGGGTAGAATCATAATTTTGAGCCTCTTGATTTTCAGCAAGTAGTGTAAGTTGCTTGGGAGGCAGAATAGCATGGCCTTGAAGTCAAGCAGGCTAAGTTGTTAGTTACTGCTTTAGAGGAAGCAGTCAGAGAGGGGAATTACAGAGGCCCAGAGAGAAGATCGCTGGCAGGTGGTCAATGAATTGTATTAATTGTTCAATTATATCAATTATATTGATTGTGAATTGTATCTGTTGTCAGAGTGTTAAAAGTGATAGCAGCTGTATCAATTGTTACTATTATTATAGTATGCCCTATAATTTTATAAGCTGTGAATAAAAATTAGTATTATTAGTGGTAAAAATTAATGTTTCATCAAATAATCTTCATGCTTATCTTTATTAGAAAATATAATGATCACGTCTAAAGCTACTTTAAAGGTTGTATTTAATAATGGTACTCAGGTAATTTACCTTTGGAGATGACCGGGAAAGTTTCTTCATTCAGTCACAAATTATGTAGTCAGCACCTGCTTTATACCAGGTTGCCAGGTGCTTATCATATATTGGCGATCAAGGTAGACATTGTCCTTGCCCCCTAGTATCTATCCTGTGATGAAAGAGCTGTCATTACTCCCAACTCACAGTTACCGACCTGGTAACTACAACTGTGCGAATTCTCCGAGATAAATTAATATTTGGCCAGCTTTCCCTGGTTAAAATACGATGTGTTGATACTTCAGATTGGATGAAGGGGACATTTTTCCTTTAGCATTTTTAATGTAGCTGTATTAAATTTTAAAACCTTCTATTTTATTATCAAATAATGTGTAGAGTAGACACTTCTGAATCTTTTCCTGACCTTTACTCCATCCCTGAATTGCTCTGTGGCTCAGGGATGGATGGAGGATTGCTTGTGTATATACTCAATAATAAAAGGTTGAGTTTTTTTTATATACTCAATAATAAAAGGTTGAGTTTATCAGTGGAGATAGTTTTTTAGGCTGTGTCATATTTCCCTTTGGTAGTATCCTGGATTGGAACAGAAAAGAAGACCAATGTTGGTAAAATCCAACATCTATTGTTGAGTGAATAGGATTGTATCAGTGTCAATTTTTTTTTTAATACATGTACCATGTTATGTAAGGTTAGAGGAAGCCAGCTTCAAAAAACTATAGGAAAACCAAGGGGCAAAGATTGTTCCCTTGGTACCTGCATGTCTCTAAACTTTTCCTCACGATGGTCAGTTTGAGAATGCCTTAAGAGGAGAGGAATTCTAACATTCGACTGAGAAAAATATAATTAGGGTGGTAAGTCCGCTATAAAATCATGATATGCAGAACTATCCTTTCGGTCCTTTGGAGGTAAAGAATGGGTGTTGTAAGATCTCACTTGCCTGAAATTTTCAAAGGTGTTTTCTTCTGTGAAAGACATGAGCCCACTCTTGGTCTTTTCTCACTGGCCAATTTTAACGAAAGAGTTTGAGAGGTCCACAGATTCCTTTTACTTTCATAGGTACAAGCACAAGTACGTCTTGCCAAAAAAAGCTTTGACAAATTGAAGATGGACGTGTGTCAAAAAGTGGACCTCCTTGGAGCCAGCAGATGCAATCTCTTGTCTCATATGCTTGCAACATACCAGGTAACAAGGGGATGTTTGTTACAGTGAACCAAGGATGTCATGAGGCTTAGATAACAGAAAACTGGTGTTTGAGCGAAAAGTACAGTTTGAGCATTATGAAGTTCTGAATGCCTTTCTTCTCATTTACTTCCCACATCTCTCCTTTCTAGCGGACTACAGTTTAATAAAACCAAAGATTAGCTCTTCCCTGTACATACACTGTAATTTCCTGCTTCCCTTCACTTGCTTAGGTCTGCTTTCTGCCCCAGGGCCTTGCCCCTCCATTTGTACCTTTCCAATTTCCACTCTGTTTAATGTACCAGACTCTGTCACATCCTTCAGAAAGGCTCCTCTGTGTACTTCTCATGATACAGATACTTAGTCATCAGATTGTCATAATTTAGTGAACTTGGTTTTGTCTCAAATGATCTTGTTGTCTTCTGCTGTCCTCTGGTTAGCGCTTGTATCCATCAATAGTACCGCTAAGCACGAACCAAGTGTGGGAAAGCAAACCCTACAGTTGTAAAGAATATAAAAATTCACACCAGATTCCCTGTCCTCAGAGAACTTAAAGTTGAGGAAGAAAGTCAGAGACAGTGAGGCCTGACTATATTTTCTATACTTCAAGGAGAGAACAGGGTGTGCTCAGTGAAATGCATTCTACAAAATCCAGTTAAGGGTATGAAGAAGGAGAAATTAAATCCGTTGAGGGTCACAAAAGAATATTGTTAATGATGAGGGTTTTGGAGGATGGAGCTGGAATGAGTACAGAGAGTGAAGAAGAATGCCCCAGGTAGTGGAGCTATGGGAGGCAGTCTCTGGGGATACAGGGAGGCCTTTAGTTTGGCTGAAACCCAGGGTATAAATAGGGGCATGATGGGAAATGGGTAACGAGCCTGCAGAGATGAGCTGGACTCATATTTTGGAGGACCTTGAAAGTCATAGACACTTCTCTGGAGCCCAGAACTAGAACTGGGCATTCGAAACACTAATAGCTTTACTGTCTTTCCTTACAGACCACTTTGCTTCATTTTTGGGAGAAAACTTCTCACACTATGGCAGCCATCCATGAGAGCTTCAGAGGCTATCAACCATATGAATTCACTACATTAAAGGTATGAAAGCTAGAGAGGCCATCAGACAATCTTATGAAAAGTAGTTTTGTTTATATCACAAACAGCATTAAGCATCATTATTGCAGCAAGCATCGTTATTGCAACAGACTCAAAATGTCAAAGAGAGAACTATGCCAAAAAATAAAGAGAGAGTCTTTATTTTTTTAATGTATTAATATTCAATATAACAATAAGCCAAAACAATCCAAATACAAAAGTTGAACCTTGGGGTTCATGTTACTGGGAGATGAATTGTGGTGAATCCCAGCCTAATGATTGGTCCTGTTCCTTTAAAATACTTGTTTGACATTGCTAAAGAAAAAGTTGTACATGTCTAATACACTTCGTTACCTTTTTATTATTAAATTCAAATATGCTTGAGAAAATATTTTCTCCCTTACTTGCTTCTGAGAAATAGCATCGTATTCTGTAAGTACCGCCCAATATATAATTGGATTTTTTTCATGAGACTGCAGTAATAGTCTTTAATTGAAAAAGCAAAATTAACCTCAGTGTTTTCTCAACTCAAAAGGGATACATGAAAAATGTCTGATTCTCAGTATTGCCACTGAATGTGGAATTATTTTTCTCTCTAATGGTAGCTGAGGGTGAGTGCATGTCAAGATAAGGAAGTGATTTGGGTCGCAAAAGGATTTTAAGAATGGTGAGAGAGAACGGTGGGTTGCCAGGTCATATCTTTGAGAGGTAAAGACCAGGAAAGAACTAAAGTTCATCTGGAAGTTACCTTCTTTCTGATTTTTCAGACAGTTTTTATCTCATCACCTTGCTTGATAAACATACTTTTTTTTTTTTTGCCATTAAACACCTCTTTGATTTTGAGATGTTTGTGATGTCACTGCATCTACAAAAATACTAAGACAGAACCCTTTAAAACTCTGGCCCTTTAAATGAATGTCCCAAGAGGAACCCCAAGGCAGTCCACCCACCTTGTGATGCACCTGACCTGACTCCAGAGAGGACACCTGGCCATGGGGTTTGTTCTTCATAATCCCTGTGTCAGCTGGTCACTTGCTCGCTGATGTGCTGCATGAATGGATTCAGAATGTGCCCTTTTTTGGGCTGTTAATGGGACTCTCTCAGGGGAGGGACCTTTCATGCCTTATGTATCCTCCTTTGTCCAGCCAAGTGTTGTGCACGCCATGAGCCAGAGCCTCCCTCATCGCATCAGCGATGCAACCGTTATGGGTAAAGACTGCATTCCTTCCCTGTGATTTACGGCTGCTTTCAGCACCTTAGGAAGCTGCTCTCCGGACCAAGGCAGACTGATTAAAATTAGCACAACTCACACTCTTCACATTTCTTACACAAGCCTGAGCAGAATCCCATGGATTCTTCTTTCATAAGGCAAAGGGTGTGAGGGCATGAAGGCGCATCAGATTTTATTTTATAATAAATACAACTTCAAAGGCTGTCTTTCGAAAGACAACTGCACATAACACAAATCAGCCAGGTGGAAGATGAACTGATGCCTAACTGAAGTGCAATTTAAAAGAAGCTCAGGTCTGAGTTAATTGCATATAAAGCACAATATGAAATTGAAGCGGTGCCACAAGAATTGGAGAATGCTTATGTATATCCTTGGCCCCCTGGGCTGAGAAAAATATGGTTCCTTAATGTTTGCCATGATATTTATCCTGCAGAGAGGATCAAGCTGGTTGTGTTAGAGGATTTCTGGGCAGAGAATTTAGTACAAGTTTGATGGCAGTGGTTCAGGACATAATTACAGATATTTTGGACAGATGATTTTCCATTTTCTTTTACACCCCCAGAGCCTTCCTTGAATTATGGTGTAAGTAACATTTATGGTTTAATTGTAAGACAAACTCAGTAGGAGTAATACATCTGTTAAGGTGTAATATGATTGTAGTAATGTCAAGAATGTTGCATCCAGAAGTCAACTAAATAAACTATGCTTTTATTACCTCTCTTGAATGCTATCCCTTTAGGCTTTCAATTATGATGTCATATTTGAATCTCAATCTAGTAGCTAATTATTTTCCTCATATGGACTCAAACCTGTATAATAGAATCCTGCTACTACACAGCCCATTGCTGCATATATAGAGGCGTATTGCCTATCATCTTACATGCCATGAAACATGAAAATGAAAACCATTAACACCTTATGTATCACCATCAAGCATGAGGATATGATCTGACTTAATCAACCCTCTTGCACTAATATATTTTTTTAAATACCTACCTTAGATTGAGATTTTTTTATTTGATCACATCATCTTTTAATATACATGATTTCCTCCTGAATGGCACTGTATATTGACAATAGATACTTTGAAATTTAAATTGATGTTTTCACGATTTATTTGTTCTCTGGATTTACCTAAGCAAATAGCCCCTTAAATGCCTTTTGGGACTCTGGCTGGAAAGAAAACATTTTCTTTGGAGAGGTTTGCCAAGCTCTGTTAATGAAAAGCAACCCATTTGTTTTCTTTGCTGCAGGGTGTACTCTGAGTGTGTTGGTAATTGTGCCATTGCAGCTGTATTTCTTGACTGTTAGTTTTATGCTTGATGAAGGATGATAATTAATGTGTTAAACACTCGGTACATCCTGTTTGCTGCAGAATTACAGGGATGTACAATAACTCGTGCCCCAGAAGCTCAAGTTTTATTTCTAATGAATGAACCTTTCTCTAGAAAACACATATTCTTCTTTCTCAAAATAATTTTTATTATAAAAGTGAATTGAGTTCTCCACCTCTTACAATGTAAAAAAATATCCAAGTCACTATTTTAACATTTTTGTGACTATTGTGTGGTAATGTTTTATATGACAACAGCTTTTTCCTCAGGTCTGATATGATTCTATTGATTCTACTTTTAGTGACATAGTCCTTCCTCAGTTTGGTTTGTGATCGATTTTTGTAGGGTTGCAACTTTATGGAAAACTTGGCATTGAAATTTAATATTAGAAAATGTTCTAATCTGATAATTATAACAGCTCACATTTAAAGCAGAGAGGCTGTGATTTAAGTGGTTTCCAATAAAAGCAATGCCATAATCTCATATTTTCAAACAATATGTATTGATTCCTTAAAATGCTGCTAAGCATATGTATTTTTGCATGAGCTAGCATTAATGTGTTAATTTTATACTGATTCTAAGTCATCTGGAAATGTCTTTCACATGGTAGAAATTATCAAGTCATGGGGATAGGAATGGAATGTTACTAGCCTGTCTTGAAAGCACTGTCACTTTTTTAGAGAAAGTAATTTAGACTAAGAGTTTAATGTCCTTTTTAAAAAATTAAATGAATGCTGTCTGTAAGAAAGCAGTACCCGTCTTAAATTACCAGCTCTCAGATGTGGTCATGTTTGCTTCATCCTTCCAAGATGTCGTTTACTTACACATTTCCCCACAGATCCAGAACAGGCATCAAGGGGGGAAAAAAGCCCTTAGGAGTCAAGTGGCTTTTCCCTGAAAAATCTAAAATTCTATTTGTATCAATGGCATTTTCGTCCCTATCTGGCATGCTAGCCTGTGGGTTGTTAGATGTCTGTATAGAGCACTGAGCATTCAACCCTTTGAAGAAGTGGACACACTCATTCAGAACCAGTAGAGAAGAAGGCATACCCTTCTGTATTTGTATTTTTAAAGAGATCAGAATGGCTATACGTAATAAAAAATGGCTGGTAGCAAAGTGTATTCCTGTGATGCGCCCATCCAATGTTTTTGGAAGGAAAGTCAGGTTTTTTACTGTGGATACAGGATAAAACATAGGATGGAAGAGCACCAGCTTGGGAGCCAGCCAGACCTGGCTTTAAATACAGTTCTGCCCCTCCGCCCCCCCCCCTCCAGCTGTGTGGTGCTGGTGGTGGTGATGGTGGGGAGAGGTAGTGGTGGCAGTAAGGGTGGCAGCGTGGTGGTGGCACCACTAGTTCCATGGTGGGGGTCCAGAAAATAGCCATTTGCAGTATGCATACAGAGGTCTTGTTGAGGTTGCCAGGTTGCACAGCCAGCTCCCAGCCTAGCTTAAGTTACTTTCTTTTTTTTTTTTAGTTTCAGGTGTACAAGACAACATAATGATTAGACATTTACACCCCTCACAAAGTGATAACCGCCCCCCCAAGTCTACTACCTCTCTGACATCATATACAGCTGTTACAATACCATTGACTATATTCCCTATGCTGTACTCCATATCCCATGAATTTATATATTTATATTTAATTATAGTTATTCAATGTTTATTTAATTATAGACATTCAATATTATTCTACTTCAGCTTCAGGTGTACAGCGCAGTGGCCAGGCCTTTACACAGTCTATGAAGTGATCCCCTTGATGAGTCCAGTACCCATCTGGCACCCTATGTGATTGATCTTCACAACATTATTGATTATATTCCCCAAACTGTATTTCACATCCCCGTGACTATATTGTGACTACCACTTCGTACTTTCTGATCCCTTCACCTTCTCCCCCATCCCCCAACTCCCCTCCCATCTAGCACCCATCAGTGTTTTTCTCTGTTATTTTCTTACTCACCATTTTCACCCTGGATGATTTGTTTTGCAGTGAGTGTCACAGGCAAGGCTGTGACTGGCAACGGGGTAGGAGGTCTGTCAGACCTCAGCCAGGCAACCTAACCCACTCCCTCGTGACTCCCACGGATGCTCTGGCAGCTCCATTCCAGCCCCATGCTTCAGCCCTGCAGGCCTGTCTGGGCTCCTGGAATCCCCACAGGGATATGAGAGGGCGGGGCCCACCTGCATGCCAGAAAGGAAGGAGACCCTCCTACCCCACCCCTGCAACAGGGCTAATTCTAAAAATGCACTTTGGCTTTGCAGCTTGCTCTGAGTCTGTGCCAGATTTCTAACTCTTAAGGAAACCTGAATTTGAAAACCTACCTCTGAGCGTGTTCAAAAATAACCATTGAAACAGATGTGCCAATGTTCCCTCCTTTCTCTCCTGGGGTCTGAAGCTTAGCACTGTTAGACGGAACATCATTCTGGATACCAA